TCCCAGGGTGGGTCTGGGCGCTGCCGGCTCTGTCTGCCCAGATACAGCGAGTGTGGCTGCGCCCAGGGAGTGCCGGATTGGCCTCGGCAGGGCTGAGAGAGCCCGTCCTTCCCATGCCCTGCCGGCAGATAACGAGGGCAGGAAGCACCTGGCAGAGCCCGTGGGCGCGGGGGGGAGGCTCAGGGCGCCCGGTTTCGCTTCTGGTCCCCCTCCAGCTGCAGCAGGGAAAACCCAGAGCCGCGGTGCTGCCCCGTCCCCTCTCGCCTTCCTCCCTTCTGAGCAGCCTGGAAGGGACCTGGCTCCCTTCCCTGCTCCATGGTGGGCAGGGGGAAGCGCTTCGAGGCAGGGGTGGTGACAAGAGGACTGGTGGGGGACGAGGTGTGGGTCCTGTGGGAAGAGCAGAAATAACCCCCACGAGCGCTTTCACATCCTAAATGCTGATGTCGCTCCTGTGGTAACTCAGAACTGAGAAACGCCCAATTTCTGCTCAAGGGACCCCGGGGAAGGGAACACACAAACACCCACAAAGCACCCAAACACATGGCCATGTGGGCAGGCAGGTGTGCCGGGCAAAGGGCTGAGCTCTCACCCAGGGCACAGCAAAGGCAAACCCTCGTTTGTGCAACACACGGGTCTCTGATTACAGCGTCTGACCCCGGCTCCTGGGATCGGACACCTCCCTGCCCTGTCTGGATAAAAAAAATCCCAACAGAAACCCAGCAGCAGAAAATGAGCCAAGATTCCAATAGGTGGAGGTGCGTGGATTTAGCTGCTTTCAGTCTTTTCCGGAGCTGCTCCAAGCAGTTTGGGGGCATCCGTGTCCCCAGCTGAGACTCCACATTCCCTGTGTCAGTCCTGGGAGGTGCTCAAGGGTCTCGGAAGGCCTAGAAAGGGCTTTGAGGAGCAGATACAGATGCACAACACTAACCCAGCTTGCACCTGAGGTATCCAGATCCTACCAGAACAAAAATGACGAGCGAGATAAAAATAGCAGCTACGTCAGGGATGCACAGGCTGGGGGGGTCTGGCCGTGCCAAGCGCTGACTCCTCACTCCGATCCATGGCGTAAGAGCTGTATTTTTATCTTGGCTGGGGGCAGCCCAAATTTCAGCTGATCTTGGCCCTGCCTGCTGGCCCAAATGCCAGGCACAGGTCACAGCACGCCGGGCTGGCCACGGCACGGACTGCACCAGCCTGGGAACGGGCCTGGAGCCCGGGATCATGTCCTGGCAGCCCACACTGGTTTGGGCAAGCCAGAGGGAGGAAGGCCACCATCACCTGACTTCCCCAAGCCTTTGAACCCGGGTGACTCCCCAGCTAATCAGCAGCCGAGCCGCCCGTCCCTCCCCACCAGCCCTGTTTCACAAGCAGCAGCAATTGGGGTGTGTTTATGCAAACTAATGAAGGGATGAGCTCAAACGGGAGCGGCTTTGACCCGGCACCCAAATCTGCCCACAAATTGTTTCCCTCTGGGAGGTGGCACGTTGTGACCCAAGCAGGAGGGGAGGAGCTGCTTTGCCCTCTCCAGGGAGAGTGGTGGGACCAGGGCCATGCCCCCCCTTGGCATCCCCACCCCGGGAGGGCAGAGGGAGCAGCCTGGGCTGGGTCAGAGGGACACTCAAGCCCTCCTGAGCTCCATAAAAATGGAGCTTTGGATCAAAAGCAGCACAAGCTGATTTAGCCAGGTCTGCTCCTGGAGGGGGGTCCCTGTCCCGGGGATCAGGGTCACAGCTCCGTGCTGAGGTCACTGACACAGCCAAAACAGGATCTGCCTTGACTCAGCCCCAGGTGCCTTTATCGTGACAGGCCCAGAGCATCGCCCACATGCCTCAGTGCAATCCAGTGATCCCTCACCCTTCCTCCTCTGCTGGCTCAGTCACCGCTGGAAGGACAGTGGGGGCAGGGAGGCTTCACCAGGAACTGCCCCCTGGCTCCCTCAGACCATTAATCCCTTCTTTCCCAGACTCCATTTAAGCTGTTCCTAGGACTGGGTCCATCACACCTTCCCGCCCTGGCAGGACATGGGATTTCCACAATCCAGCGTGGAATTAATCCCCTGCTGCCCAAGCCAGAACCCAGCACAGGGAAGGAGAAGGGCAGGACACCCACAGCCCAGCATTAGTCACCAGACCAATTCCCAGCCTTAATTCCTGCAGTTTAGAGGGTCAGGTTTGGAGTCAGCACGTTGACTAAGCAGCTTTTTGTTAAACCTCCTCCGTGACGCAGCCGGATATTCGCAGTCACCCACACTCCAACCGAGCCCGTGGCATTCCCAGGGTGGGATCTGGGCTGCAATCCCAACCCTCACCCCCTCCACCAGCACAGGGCAGCTCCCAGGAAGAACACAGGCCTTGGTTATAATGCTACATTTTTATTAAAGTAACAAAAGCATCGGTCTGTCAAAGGATCTGTACACTCTGGATATAAAATACTACTGTACATTAGTAACCACCCCACTCCCTCCTCCAAGTCCTTACAGACTTTCTACCATTTTCAACCAAATACAAAAAGCAGGTCCCGTTCAACAGTCCAGCTTGGTTAAAAAAAAAAAAAAAAAAAAAAAAAGACAGAAAACCCCTCAAATACACTGTCTCAAACTCCACAGCACTCGGCTCTGCAGGTGAACATCAGGCTTGTAGGCAGAAGGCAACAGAGCACACGAATTCACAGCTTTTACGTGTAACCAGCTACAAGAGAAAGGGATTATACCCAAATTTGGTTGGTTTTGAAGCTACAAACAGACACCTTTAACATTAGGCTCCTCCACACCAGGGACAACAAGAATGAGGCTATTTTGGGTCTGGAGGTGGGGGCACGTTAGGAGCAGTTATAGTGTATTCCTTTGGTGGGGGCTGTTGTTCCTGGAAAACTCTTCTGGGAAGAGGGAGGGAATAGAGTTAAAAAGGGGGTGTAAATCTTAAGACTGCTTTGATCCTGACAAATTGCAGCCCAAGGAAGTACCAGCCTTCAGGAGCCTCCACAGCCAGCCCAGGAGCCCAGCAAAGCTCCTGCTGGGTGAGGGTCTCATCGTGGGCTTCCCACGCAAGCAGGTCAAGGGAGGACTCCAAAAAGCACCGAGATCCCTTTTCCCTGAAAAGGGAATTTGCTTTTTTGGAAGTTTCCAAGCGCTCCCCTCTCGGTGAGGTCACCTATTGCACAAGTTCACCATGGGAAAAGCCCCAGTGCTTTGTTTCAACTTCTGCTTTGCTGACGTGAGAGATTTTGGTGGCGCAGAGGGAAGTGATGCAACTCCAGGGCCACACTCTGCTCTTACTGCTCAGGGACAAACAACCACTTGACATTTAAAAAGCATTTTAGAGTCGAGGCTGATTTTCCAGTTCTGGAATTGATGATTTGAAGCTTACAAAAGTCAGAACTTTTCCATGTTAGTAGTCAGAGTTGGGAAGCTGTGCTGAATTATTTAATATATTAAAGACCAAGCTAAGAACTGTGGCAGATGGGAGCTTCCTTCCTCTCCCAGAGAGCCCAAGATTTGGAAATATATTGCACAAATGTTTGAGAACTTGAGTCATCATAGGCTGGGCAGGAACAACCCTGTTTTTGCCAGTTAGCTGCCAGGTCAGGAGAGAGGAAGGTTAAGAGTAGGCTGAGAGACAAATCTGGGAAGTTTTGCTACAACCAACCATGTCAATGCCCTTTGCTCCAATCCCTTCTCCTGGGATCAATGGAGGAGCACCAGTGGGTTGGTAAAAAGGCCAAGGACATCCAAATATCCCAGTAAAGGCTCCTTCCCAACAGGCAGGTGAAGTTTGGGGCAGCCCTTTAGCTCCCACCCCATTTGTAGTTTGAAGGCCAAATCCTGAACAACATCTGGGCAGTCTCCCTGAACACAGGTTCCACTGGGACTGCAAAAGGAGCTTTGCTGGAACAGGCAGAGCACAGGACCAGGCATTAATTGTGCAAAAGTTATGTTCCACGAGATCAGAACCAAACCATGCCCTTTACCACGGGGTCATTGGAGACAGGTCCCAGGGACAGGAGAGGAGGAGAGGGAAGTGCTGTGACTTTAAATGCAAAGTTAGGACACCAAAGCATCTGAGCATCCCACACACAGGGGGAAGAGCCCCCCAATACTTCTGATTTTAAGAAATAGGGCAGCAAAGGGGTTCTCACACACTAACCTCTACAGCACAGGGAGAGTTGCTTCAGCTCTTCTGGAGAAGTGACAATCAGGAGCGCTGGACTGGGCAACTTGTGCAGGCAGGAGGCCAAGCCCACGCCCGGGAGCACTGGGAGGCCACACAAGAGCAGGTCTGGGCTGATGTTTGAGCCACACAGAGCAGAGAGGCTTTGTAATTCCCAGCTGTTCCGTGCTGGTCTCGGGCTCTGGAGCGCCCGGCTCCGTGTGCAGCGTGGGAGACAGCCAGGGACTGGGAGCACCAGGGAAAACAGTCCTCCAGTGCCACCACAGCAGCTGCACGAGTCATCCTGGGCACAGCTCTGCATCCCCAGTGCAGCACCTCTGCCTTGCTCCACTTCCAGCGTGGCCCTTCCAGCCCAGCAGTGGACAGGGAAGGTGGAGGGGCTGGAGGCAGGGCAAGCTCCCCTCGCTGTGCTGGGAGTGGGGCAGAGCAGAGCTGCAACACGCACCGAGCAGGTCCAGGAGAAGTGTGAGAGCAAAGGAGAGGGATCCCAGGGTCCCCAGCATCACCCAGCCCCGAGGCAAGGCTCCCCCAGAACTATATCCAGGCCCCAGAGAGATCAAACCAGCTGGGGAGTGAAGCAGTGAAGGGAAGGCAGCACCTCCTTCCCCCCTTCTCAGCAGTATTGCAACACCTGGTGCTACAGCAATAGTGCTGGGAACCAGGACGGGGAGAAGGTGACACATCTCCCACCACCAGCCACACTTCCCAGCCTGGCTCTTCCCCCTCATCCTCCATTCCAAGCTGCCCAAGTGAGCGAGCCAGCCCAAAATTGCCATCCAACACTAATTAGGTAGATATCGGCTTCATAAGAAACACTCACAAGCTTGCAACAGCTTTAAAAAAGGCACCTGGAGCCCCGCCTCTGTTCAGAGCGGCGCCCGATATTTTAATTTTGGATTTTCTTGGATTTTTTTAAAAAATATAAATAGCTCTTCATCTTAAAAATAGATCCTCGGGTGAGGTATTACAGTAGCCTGTGTCTTGGCAGTGTAAGGACAAGAGGAGTATTTAGCTGGAGACAGTCATGATGTAGTTTTTGGAAGGACTGGTGCGGCCCAGCATCATCTGGTTCTTGCAGGTGAGCATCCCGTAGGAGCTGGGGGGCTTCGAGGCCTCGTACAAGACGCAGATGGAGCCGTCCTCGCCGATGCGATAGGACACCTCGTAGGGGTCCACCCAGAGCGTCAGCTCGCTGGGCAGGAGCTGGTAGAGCTGCGGGAGGCTCAGTCCGATCTGGCTCGCTGCCTTGCTGATAATGGGGTCCATTTTGTGGTTGATCCGGATGCAGCGGTACCCGGAGCCTTTGAAGGGTTTCTCGGGGAACCAGTGGTGTTTGTAGTGCTCTGCAAGGGAAGCGACAGGAGCGGTGAGCAGGCGTGGAGGGGGTCTGTGTCCCGCCGTCGTCCCGAGGGCTCCCACGTCTCCTGGAGGGAGCTCGGGGCTCCTCGGGAGTGCTCCTCAGGCTGCCTCCGGAGCCGAGTGCTCGATTCTTTGGTCACTGCTTGTTCCAAGGTGCGGCTCCTTCAAACCCCCGGAGGGCAGTGCAGGGACCCCAAGGCTGCCGGGGTGGCCGGGGCAGATACCCTATCACCCACCCCAAAGCACCGCGGCCCGGGAGCAACATCCAGGTCATTCTCTAAGTTCAGGAGCGCTTTGCTACCTCTTATCTGAGCACAGCAACAAACAAACCATCCCTCCTTCGGGGCGATAACACCCGGCTGTGCCGGGCTGGGAGGGGACCCCTGAACCACCCAGTTCGTGCCGAGCCCAGACGTGCCCGTGGGGAGGGGAGTGCCAGACTCTGCTGACACAGGGAGGGGGCACAGACTGGCTTGGGATCGTCTGTATCCACCCTCAGCAAGGAGGGCTCCAAAAGGGAGCACAAAGCCCTCGGAGGCCGGGCAGGGGATCTGCTCGCTCCCAGGATGAGGCAGTTTCACTCAGGACCCCACAGGGACACAGGTGGGTGCCCTGGGGTCACACGGGTGGGCACCCAGGCAAAGGCACGAAGAGGATCCGGCGTCAAGGACGTCACAGCCGGGTGTCAGGGAAAGGCATCGATGCGTGCCCGACCCCAGGGGACACAGGTGGGCATCCAAAGAGGGACACCGGTTCTGGGAGCAACACAGGGGGGCACCCGGAGGACACCCGGTCTTATCCCAGGTCCTGGGAGCCACATGGGCGAGGGCATCCGGAGAAAGACAACCAGTTCTGGGAGCACCGAGGAAGGACACCAGCGGGCGCCCGGCCCCGAGGGGGACAGGAGGAGCCCGGACACGAGCGGGCTTCTCTCGCCGCACTCACCTGCGAGCGCCTCCCGCAGCGCCCCGCTGAAGACCTGGAGCTGCTGCTCGCTGACGCAGCCCCGCGTGCGCAGCAGGCTGGACACGAAGCCGACGGCGGCGGCGATCTCGGGCACCATGTCAGCGCGGGGCCCGCGGCGGGGGCCGTGGCGGTGGCTCATCCCGGCGCTGGGATCGGGGGTTCCCGCTGGGATCGGGGGGTTCCCGTTCCGAGGGCTCCGCTCCGCCCGTTCTGCGCCGGCGGCGCCGCGCGCGCCTTATGCCCGGCCGGGGAGGGGCGGGGCCACGGCGACGGCGCGCCCCCATTGGCTGAGGCGCTATGCAAACGAAGAGTATGCAAATCGCGGTATGCTAATAGCGCGTGAGCTCAGCGCGCGAGGAGCGGTGACGTCACAGCGCGGGGGGGGCGGTTACGGGGCAGATTCGGGGTGACCCGGGGGGGGGGACAAGGGACAAGGACGGGACAGGGACAAGGACGGGACAGGGACAGGGACGGGACAGGGACACGGACAGGGACACGGACAGGGACACGCTCCCCCCTCGACCCGCGGCACGGCCCCCGTGCGCTCCGGGGGTCGCGGGATTGCGGCTCCTTGGCAGTCACCCACGGCAGAGCTGCCCCGAGCAGTGGAATCATCGAGTCATCGGATGGGTTGGAAGGGACACTAAAGATCATTTCGTTCCAACCCCCCTGCCATGAGCAGGGACACTCTCCACTAGACCAGGTTGCTCCAAGCCCCGTCCTGGCCTTGGACGCTTCCAGGGATGGGGCAGCCACAGCTTCTCTGGGAAATCCATTCCAGTGCCTCACCACCCTCACAGTAAAGAAGTTTTTCCTAATATCCAATCTAGAACTATTTTCTGTCATTTTGAAGCCATCCCCCCTTGTCCTGTCACTCCAGGTCCTTGTCCCAAGCCCCTCTCCAGCTCTCTTGGAGCCCCTTTGAAGAGGCTCTAAGGTCTCCCTTCCAAAACACTCCTCCAGATGCCAGAGCAGCCCAGGTGCCCTTTGTGACCCTAGAGAAACCCCCCTACGGGGGGTCTTTTCTCCCCAGCAATGTTTCCATCACCAAATTTCCTTCCCCAATACACACTCACAGATCCTTGTCTCCCAGACAAGTCCAAACCCTTTCCAGAGATCCCCGAGGAGTGCAGGGAGAACTTGCCATTGCCTGCACTGTCCCAGGCAGGTGAGGGAGATGAGGGGGAGCACTGCCATGACCACCTTCCTCTTGCTGCCTGAGGAGGGTTTGGGGTGAGGGGTGAGGACAGACACCCCGGGACTTGGTGCCTCCTGCCAGCCGAAAGCCAGGCTGGAGGAAGAGCGGGACACAGGAGGACGTGTCCCATCACGGAGCAGGGAGAACAAGCCAAGGCAGGCACGGAGCAGAATGTCCTCGGGTGCCTCCTCCAGCCCAGCAGGAGGGGAGAGCAGAAGCAGCACAAGCCCTGATGCTGTGGGAGATGAAGGAGCACCTTAAAGCCACGACAATGCCGGGAGCTGGCCCAGCTGGCCCAGCTGCCCAGCCACGCTGCCCAGCAGAAACACTGGCCCAGCTCCTGCTGAAACTGGCCCGGAGCTAAAGAACAGTGGGAGGCCAAGCTCTTTGCTTGCCTTTGCTTTGATCAACCATGAGAGAGTTAGTATCAAACCAGGACGGGACTGTGAATGAATATTCCCTGGCAGAGGACCGGGATTGTTCCAGGCCATTGTCTCCCAGCCCCAGATGCCTCCTCAGCGTGCACCGGGGGAGGATCTGAAGCCACAGCTCTGATGTGATCCCCAGCGAGATCTCTTTCTCCTCCCGTGGCTGGGGCCTCATTTGGCATCTCCACAAGCAGTGGGTGCAGCTGGAGCAGATGGGGCAGGGAAGGAGCTCCTGTGGATTTGCCTGTGCCCGTGGAGCAGCGTTCCCACAGTGCTGCTCCTGTCGCTTATCAGGTGCTCCCTGATAAGGATGAGCCTGGGGCTGCTCAGCCCCAGCACATCCCACATCAGTGGGGCTCTCCCCGAGCCCCTCGGGGTCCTGTCCTATGTGGGCACCACGCTTGGCAAGGGGCAGTGAGAGCATCACCCACCCGTGCCCCTCAAAAGGGGGGATGTCACAGACAGGATGGGAGCCTTTCCAGCACCTCTTCACACAACTCTCAAACTCCAATTGTTTCCCATGGCTCCAGGGTCTAATAGGATTTTTTGAGGCCTTTTGCTTGCAGTCTGCAGCTCGTTTTACTCACACCCCTGTCACTCCTGGGCACACACACTGCACACAGGGTGTCACACCCACAGGACGAGCCGGTGGCTGCGCAGCAAAGTGTGACCATCGAGCCAGAGCTGAGGAAGAAAATGGCTTTTGAAGCCATAGAAGAGGTGGATATAACAGATCCTGGCCAAGCAGGGCTCTGTGCTGACCCCGTTTCGTGCTCTGTGCAGCTCGAAGGCAAGTGCAGCAGGCACAGGGTGGGGTCAAGCTTGCAAGGAGATAGAGCCAAGGGTTCCCCGAGTCCTCCCCTCCCTGCTCCATCTGCCGCTCCATTCATCCACAGAGCAGAAGAAATCAAGCAAATCTCTTGCTATAAACCAGATTTGCCTTTGTAAGCTTTGAAATAAACCCAAGGATTAAAGTCTAAGGACTTTTTTTTTTTTTTTCCCCTTAAGTCAGCAACACACATGAAAGAGCCCGTGGGGGCCTGTGAAACCCGGAGCCCAGCACGCTGCAGGGGGTTGGTTATCCTGCAGCCAGAGGCCCCTGGATGAGGCTGGATAAACACCCAGCCCCAGCCTGTCCACGCAGAGCCCCAGTGCTTTAAACACACCTGTGCTGTGAGCCAGCCACGCTCCCAGCGCGTGGGCACAGCCACCGTCAGCACAAACCCAGGGAGCAGGGGAACCATCCCAGGGGAGATGCCTTTGTGCAAAGACAGCAGGAAAAGCCACGGCGAAAATAAACCCTCAACTTTTATTTCTTTTTTTTTTTGGCTCTCCCAAACCCACGGGAGAGGCCTGGGCTGAGCTCTCCATCCAACCAGACCAGCTGGGAACGGGGAGAAGGGCTGGTTTCTCCCATCCAAAAGGAATACTTGGATGGTATCAACCAGTCCTGAGTCACTGGACAGTAGTTGTAGCAAGTCTGTCCTCCAACCTGCCAAGAATAGCACTCATAGCCAGGGCTATTTATTTGCCATTAGGGGTAACTGTGCTCATTAAGTGCTGCTGATGAGCCACCCTGGGCCGGCAGGTTCCCCTGGTCCCCCCTGCTCTGCCAGGGATGGAGTAAGTGGTGGCACCATTCTCCAAATTCAGATCTTCCATTTATCCTTAGTCACCACCTTTCCACAGGCTCCCAGTGCCCAGCTCAGGGCCTTTGTCTGGTGTGTGTTCATCTGGTGGGACACAGGCCCTGGGCTCCCAAATCTGATTGTCTCTGCTAAGCCCTTCCAATAGGAGATTTCCTGTGGAGCTCAAGGACCTCTAAGCGGGTTATGTGCTCATAATTTCTGGCCCTGTTACAAGGCTGCAGTCTTAAAGACAGGGCATGAGGCTTAATGCACGCTTTCAAACTGCTTTGAGGAGTTACAGAGCAAACAAACAATTAGAAAATAAAATTCATTTTAAGAAGAGAAGTTAGAGCTGGGTTTAATGCTGTTCTGGCTGGATTAGTTTCCGCCCTGTGTTTAGCTGGAAATGGCTGAGAGCATTTAGATTTCAACTTAAAAAAAACCAACCCAAACCCAATAAACTTCTCCCCAGCGATTGGCCAGGCTGGGTCTGTAACTGGTTTGACAGGAATCAGGAGTTCGGATAGGCTTTCAAACACTCTGGGCCTGTTTATCCAAATGAGGCTCAAAACCAGTCGAGCTGGAAATTTTACAATAAAAGGGGAACATTTGGCTTTCAATCAAGGGTTAAAACTCGGCAGGGACAGCCCAGGCTGCTCACGGGGACTGAGGCTTTGCAAGTCAGCAACTCGTGGTGTTTTATGTTCACCTAAAAGGCAACAGTTCCCACGCTGCACTCGGGCTCGTTATGCTTTTTTGGGGGTGACGACACCCTTAATTCTGCTGGGCTCAAGTTTATAAGGCATGAGACACAAACCCCAATTTCAAGCCGTCCTGGAACACCATCAGAGCTGTCACATGGCCACAGTGGGAGTCTGCACCCCCTGTTACAGGCAGGAAAACAGTTCCACAGAATCAAGAATTAAGATCCAAATCCTCCTCGTTAGACGTGTCCCCCAGATCACTAAATGAGCTGTCACTTCCCCCAGCCGGGTCCCTCCCAGTCCCCCCAGCCTTTGGGAAGGGTTTGGAGGTTATCTGTGGAGATTTGAGGAGCCAAGGGCTGGCTTTCTTTAAGTTAAGGATGGGGGGGGAACCTCTGGGAACAGTCCAGAACTGTAAAAATAATAGATGTATTGGACCGGCTCAAATCTCATTACGTGGCTGTGCCGGAGGAGGCACAGACAACTGTGCCTGCAGTGCCAGCAGCCACCTGGTTGCTAACACCAGTTAAGCACAATCACTGGGAATTTAAGGGGAAAAAAGCCCAGGGGTAAGCTGGGCTAATATGTTTAATCACAGCTGTAATTGGTAACCCGGGTCTGACCCCAGAAACAGGCCTAGCAGGCAGGGTAAACAATAAAGCAAGACTCTAAAGCCCAGCCTACACTTATAGCTAATAAGTCCTTTCAAAACACACAGTTGTGAAATAAGGCCGTGACTGAACCGTGTGAAATGCGACTGGGGGGAGAGGGAGGGCAGGGGCAGGAAACAAACCCCCTTTAACCCACGAGCTGCTCCCTCAGCCCATGTTCTCCAGCACGTCCCCATTCCCGGCAGTCCAGACCAAGGTCAGGCAGACCAGGCTCCTCAAAGCTTATCTCCCCCCTGGCTCCAGGGCACTGGGCTCTGCTCAGCACCTCGTCACCTATTCTGGTGCCTGGATGTCTTTTGTCAGCTCGACCCTTTGTTTGCTCTTTGTCGCCTGTAACCGGATCCCACTCCTGGGACCTCGGGATGTGCGGACGGGACATGTCAGGACACATTCTGGGCATGTCCAGGCAGTTCCATTTGTCCTACCAAGGACCTTTAAATACTCCCCTCTGCTTCTGTGTGGATGGGAGCTGGATTTCCCCACAGCATTTGCACGCAGTGGCTTTTGCAGCCCAAGCCCAGGGCTGCAGCAGGGGACCAGAGTGTTCCTCAGAGCCCTCTTTCACAGAACACCCTCCCTCTGTTCCACTTCCCTTGCT